TGGACTTTTGTGAGCTTTTGGAATTCTTTTGGAATAAAACTTTTGGAGCTTCTTCTGTTTTAAACAAATTTAGGTCCTGATGAGGCTTTCTCCATAGCCCAAATCCAAGTAGTTCGTCCCACGACCGCGTCTTCAGAGAGCAGATGTTACCCTCAGGAATTCACTCAGCCTAACCCTATGTATGGAACAGTTCGCGATAACTCCTATATACAGCTGAAACGGAAGGTTCTTGGCATTACGAGATTGAACCTGAACACAAGGTTTCAAAATTGGAATTTTCTGACTTATTACTAATGCTGTAACTCCACAATTTCATAGCGCAGCTCTCTGCCACTGAGTTTACTGGTGTTGTTGATAGCCTTGCTTTGGGCAGCTGATGATACAGCATGTATGAGCGTTGAAAAGCGATACAGAACATATAAGTGACCACTTCTTTATTCACTGGGGAAATTAATACTATCATATGATAGATTACGGCAATGACGAGCTCGCTGATTTCGGAGTGAGAGATCAAAGTTCGAAAAGCACAGTAAATTGACACAACGTAAAAACCTACTGCTTGATATGAACGGAAACTGACTTCGGTAGAAAATAAATGAGATTTTCCTCAAAAAGCGGGCAAGTTCATACACGAAAATCAAGACACGTGAGAGATAATGAGTGCTGAGTCAAAGTACTGAATGAGATGAAACACTCCCACTGCTTCTAAATTAATGAGACATCATGAAAAAGTATGATGATATTATAACAACGCAGCTACGTTACACGTAGCTGCCTTGGATGCTATTAAGGATTTTCTATAATTTTCTCAGCGGATTACTTCATTTCATTAATACAGTACTCTCTGCTAGATATATAACTGAAGCCATCATCTACAAATCCGAATTCACATTGAGCGCAAACGTTAGTCTAGTTTTTTTCTTCTACTTCTAGGATAATGAGCAAGATTATTAGTTATTACAATAGTCTACAGGACCACACATGCAGAGAGGAATATAAGTCCTTCACAAGTATGATGTGCCAATTAATGTTTGGACCATTACACAATGGTCCACTATACTGTTAATGACCATTGCAACAGGCAATATCAGGCAAAGTTCTCCAAATTGTTGAGCTTCAAGTCCACCTATCTGTTAATAAACAGCACCTCTTCTCGTCCAACTCGCCACCTCAGCATTTTGTGAACAAGTCAGACCACGACTTTCCATCCACGATTCTCCTTCTTTGCTTATGATATCCGATAGGCTAGCCTTGAGCAGTAGGAAAGCTCGCTTGAACTCCAGTCCATCTCCACGTGATCTGAAAGATGAATCATTGTAGCAGTGAATGAGAGACACAATCCTCTATTCAATCAAGGCTGAAATTAAAATGCCTTATTCAGGACCTAGATAATTGCTAGCTGCCCTTCAGAAATCAACACTGAAACGCATCTTTTCATGAGACCGGGTACGAATTCTACAAGGGACTGAATGGAGAATGACTCGTTAACTCCTCACCTCCTACAGTCAACTAACACCTTCGTTGGTACTTCGTAGATAGTCACCATGAACGACATGTCTCTGTACGTAATGAGTAACTGAAACACCCACATAATAAAGCGACTGAATATGCTGCGAAAAAAAGTCCGAACCGCTTGTGTTACTTTCCAAGGAAGGAATCCGAAGCAAAAGCACAAGCAGCTCTAATACGAGAAACGACTTCAGCTCCACACACTGTGACGCAAAATCGCGTCATGCGGCGTACCATCATTGCCATTGGGTCCTAAAATTTGAAGAAGATGAACGCCACATTTGACGTATACCTCAATATTATTTTGGCTCACAATATCCAGATTCTGGGATAATTGGCTAGTGCTCAGCAACCAGTGCTCCACAGCGTGCGAGACCGAATTGTAGCCCGTTCACAAACACGTGTCGTCGATTTGTCACCACAGAAGGTGTCCATTTAACTGCCGATGGCTGGGAAGCTGCTGGGCTAAAGTCGGGTAAAATGTAATCTAGAAAATAAAAGCTACAGTTCACATGCCCGATACAGCCAGTCTATTGTCAACCCGACTTTCGCCATAGCGAATATTTCACGATGATTAACAGCTGTGCTGGCTAGCTCGGGAACATGAACACCGCACACTTAGTAGAAGCAAGACATGAGTCGCGCAATCATTGAGGTGCTGTCTCAATGAGACGCAATAAAAACTTGGCAGATGGGGAAAACCTGGAGGATTTCCAAAACAGACACTTTACTTAACTAAAGTTTAAGAAGAGGAAACAAGAAAGAAAGAAGTAACATTTCAGAAAAACTATGTGAAAAATGCATGTATAGGCACAACTAACCACTCGCTCCTATCAGCCGTCAGACGCTTCCTCTTGATAGCAGGAACACAAACCGAATTTTCCCTTGCAGTGGCTGAGTAATAATAGTTAAAGGTACAAAACGAAAGCTACAAATCTGTCACTCTTCAAAATGCGTTGAAAAGTACTCACCAAAGTCTGCGTTTGTCCATGGATGTTCCATAATCCGCTGCAAAGTAGCGCGAGTGTTTTCGTTCTCCGTCAGTATTGCGCGAATCAATGCTGAAGCAAAAGCGAATGCTGTGGAAAAAAACTTGTACAAATCGATCTCACTTACATAATGCTGTGGTGTCGATTTTCTTCCACGGGTTGTTTTCGGTAACCACGACAGTGCCATTTACCCATTCACTATAGGCAGGACACTCCCTGAAACATAGGAGGATACATTCAAAAAACCAAGATCACAACTCCCAACAGTCTTTTGTGAAAATGACACAGGTTTCTATAATTAGGGTGCGGCATGCAAAACGTTGCAGAACAAAAGTTCATGACACTGACTAAATCGGCAGAAACCAAATTCATCAAGAACCATTGCAGCATATGAAGGCCTACGAAAACGATCACTAAACCGGTAGAAAAATTAATGCCGGAAAAAGTGACATGCCTAGACGCTGAGTCCCAAGGAAGCTCGCCAGCTAGCATGGCCACGAGAACTACGCCAGACGACCAAATATCCACAGGTTCTGCTCTGAAGTTTGGAAATTAGTGAACGCAAGCGACAAAATTGGCTGTGTGCAAACGTATTGCATGCATTACGAGAAACCTACTTGTACAATCCTTTTATTACTTGTGGTGAAGCGTATGGTAGCGTACCGCATGTGGCATTCAACATTCTTTCACGGTCGCTATGTCGGAAAACGGTAGCCATGCCAAAGTCGGAGATTTTCAAAACATCTGAGAAGTATTAAGATAGCAAAACATTGAAACAACTCGCAACATTTGGGAAAACACAACCATAAATTAGTGTAAATCAAGAGAGTTGTACCTTGGCCGGTGAGAAGGAGATTTTCGGGTTTGATATCTCGATGAACAACTCCCATGCTGTGAATGTGCTTGAGACCATTGAGCAACTGTCGAAAGTAGAACTGCGCCTTTACAGGTGGCATTCCCACGTCAGGTTCTGCGAATTTAGGAAACATGAATATAATTTCGTCTTGTGCAACAAATAGTGAAATTATAAAGTGAAAACAGAGGGAGTTAAAACCATTGTTATATATACCGATGGCACTTCTTCGAAAGAATAAAAAATAGAACATAAAAAAAGATTAAGATTTCAAAAATTAATCACTACGATTCGTAAAAGCAAAGGTGATTACGAAGCGTACTGACAGAGAAAGAAAAAGAAGAAAGAAGAAAAAGTGAAAAAAAGCATTAGTAAGCATGACCAGCTATACAAAACAGTTATCTGAACATCGAAGAAGCTCACCAATTTGATCGAAAAGCTCTCCACCGTCTGCATATTCCAAATAAATTTGAAGCTCATTCAGGCCACCTTCAGTCTCTACACGCATCCCAATGTAACGAATCATATTATCGCATTCCTTAGTCGAGAGCAATCGTTGTAAGTAAGCCTGAAAAATGTTTTAGGTAGTCATTTAAGATCTGAGGGTCTATTCCAGTTAGGAGGCCATGGATGCAGTTTTTCCAAGAGAAAGGGGGATGTAGCCAGTCTAGGGGGGTGAAGGGTGAGGGCAGTCACTTGACATGCGTGAAAAGCTGGAATGTTCGAGTTTACACTAGTTCGCCGAGAAACTGCATCATGATGCACCCCCCCTCACCTAACTGGAAAAAACCCAAATCTGACAGTAAACTAGAAATCCACAGTCAACAAAGGCCATAACAAATTCAGAAGGGGGTATAAAATATGTACCAAGATTCAAAAACCCATAGCAGGACTCAAGAAGGGGCTCATGAAGTCTGAGTACGTCAAGCGCTAGATCGTTGATCCAAGTCACACTGTGCAATCACTCCAACTTCGACATTCAGCAATCCCTCTCCCCCCCCCCCCGTTCACTTCAGCACATCCAGTGAGCGCACTGCTCACTCGCAAAATTAAAAATGTCTGGCCGGACACAACTTTCCGGAATAAGAGTACATCCCAAAACTTGCAAGCTCCTCTTCTGTAACTGGGAGTGAGTCATTACATTAAGAGTGACCCGGATACTGAAATTAAGTAGCAAGGGATAAGGAAGAAAAAAAGACCTGGAATGTGAACAGAAGCCTAAAGCTACCTCTTTCTTGAACTGATTCAAAGCTTCACTATTGTTTTGAAACTTCCTCAAATCTATGCATTTCAAAGCCACACAACACATCGGATTCCGCGGATCAACCACCAGTTTGACTTCGCCAAACGCTCCTAAAGCAAAATTTATATTGTCTTGTTGGACCAAAGACAAGGAAAATAGCTGGAACAAATTCACAGGAATGGTAAGGAATTACTAGTATACTAACCTTCTCCCAGAATTTTCACAACTTGTGCTTTTCGTGTGCCACTGCTCTGTTCCTTGGTTGGTGCAGGGTTATTTGGCACAGGAACTCCAGCTGGCCCTACACATACTTTAGGCTCAGCTAACATCCTTAAATGAAATGAAATATTATACAGAACAATTTTGAAATAAAAGCAAGAGAAATCGTGCACATTAAGTATGTAAAAGCTGAATTGACCAAAGTGACGATGTGTGTTTGGGGGAGAGGCGGGGGGAGGGTTGCATTCTGTCGCAGGACATCCAAAGCTAGCCACAACAAACATTGTATTGTCATACTCTCGCAGTTACCTTCATGAAGGAGCAGAATGCCTTGTGCACCAAGGAGCTTCTTTCGTCTGCTACAATTGGATATCTCTCGCTGGGATGACTTCTGCGCGGTTAGGCTCCTGCCTCACCCCCCCCCCCCACCTCTGCCACTACTCGTCACAGTCACAAACAACATCCTCACATCGCAGTGAAAACTTATTTATGAATAGAGTGAAAGGGATGGCAGCCCGCAAGGAGCGATTGCAAATGATGACGGAACTTTTTATTGATCCATGAGGGATGCCGCGTTTAACAAAGAGCAGGGTTAACATGAATGAGCAAAACATGTAAGAAAGTCGAAAATTACACAAATCAGCTGACACGCGATGACATTAATGCACGCCTATTTACGTATTCTAATCACCTGGGTACGCCCCATATACCTACTTTTAATACCTAGTCCTTAATTCATAGGTTAAGTTTTTCAGTGTTACATGCAAATTGGTTGATCTATCACCCAGAGGAAGACTTGGCAAGCTTAGAACTCAAAACTCAAAATTCATCGCTGATAAGGAGAATTATTGAGGAAAGATTGCAACGCTACAGCTGCAAAACGACATTTCAGCGGACTTCATATTCCCAATAATTGAAACGATATTTACCAAGCAGTACAATTAGAGGGTAATCAATACCGTCTCTACTTATCCCAACTTGCAGAGCTGTTCTAATATTCGGACGCAAAACTGATTTCCATCACTGATGAAGATACATATTGTTCCGGATAGATGGGTAATTAGACACACCTAGGATGCCAAAGAGATGAGTAACAGGATAAAAGAACAGTGTAGGACTTCAGGGCGTAATAAACTACCCCCAAATACTTGTTCAAGTTTGCAGCAGCTTTGTATGATAGAAACACTATGCAAAAACAAACTATGGAAGAA